AATCATTCTTGATTCCCTACCCATCCTACCCTTCTTTTCTTAATTAGTACCTGCTCATTCATCAAAATTGTGCTTTAAGAGCAGAGACTAGGTCATAAATGGTCTCGTCATTGGAATCTGTGAAGGCTTCCTTTAGGAAGTAATTTGAAGCTGAACTGTGAAGGGTGAGTTGTAAATAGTTGGATAAGGGGGAAAAGGGAATAGCCTTTGCAGGGTCACTGTGGTAACGGTGACTGGGAATTTGAAGACCATAGACAGGTCCAATATAGTTGGAAATAAAAAGACTGAAGAAGGGAGGTCAGCAGGGGCCAGACCGTGTAGTGCCCCACTGTCCGATTTAAGGACTTTAGTTTTTCCTGAGACTATGAGAAGCCATCAGGGTGTTGTAGGCAGTGCAGTGACAAGACCTAAATATTCTTGGTGGCTGTATGGATGAATATTAGCTATGCAGGTAGGGAAGATACTACAGAGAGTTGCAGAATAGATACAGAAGACTGATTAGGAGGCCGTTGTATTGGTCCAGGCTGAGGCTAGGGTGGTAGCAGTGGGGAAGGAGAAAAGTGAAAGGATGGGAGGTATGTAATCTGTACCATCAACAGGACTTGGTGTAGTGAATGAGGGAGAGGAGGCCAAGGATGACCCTTAGGTGGCTTAACTTCATGGGTTAGGACCAGGAGACAGAAAAGGTGATAGCAGGAATTAAGTGTCAGTGAAATTTTTATTTATTTGAATTTAACAATTCTTAACTTCTTATATGTGCAGATGCTGGGCGTGGTGCTGAGAGTACTATCCTACTACTGTTGAGGGCTAAAAAATTAGCATCTATTATGTGGCAGACAGTATACCAAGCATTTCGAGTGTTATTACGTAACAGGACAACTCAGGACAACTCAACGTGAGATGGGTATAGTTTTTATTCCTTTTTTAACTGATGAAGAAACTGAGGCTTCAATAAGTTAAGACACAAGTCACAAAACTTAGCAGGAAGCAAAATCAGTATGCAGTTCCAGGTTCTTAATTACTTTGTTATACTACCACCTAAAGACAAATGTGGCAGAACTTGACCTCAGGGGGCTTACATGGACACACAGTCATGTAATGTGATGTTCAATGCAATAATAAAAGTACTCAGTAGATATAGCGCTGACTGAAGATGGAGGATCATCAGGGGGAATTTAATTTAGCTGAGGGGCTGGTGTGTGAGCTGAGTCTAGAAGGATAGATAGGAGTTACTCTTCAAAGTGGTAGAGGGGGAGGAACTTCCTTGGCAGATGTGTTATGTTTGTGAGACTTTATTCCAGTAGGCCTGAAAAGTAGCCTGAGTTGGCACTGAAATACACTGAGTAATGGTGTTGCTTTGTAGCTGTGGGTCTGAGGGCTTTAGGGGTAGTTTGTACCAGTTTTTCAGCATCGTTCATTGATAACGGAGATTGATCATTTGTACCTGTTCTCAGTGAGAACCCCGAGAGACTCTCCCATCGAGACTGGTTACACAGTAGAAATATGCTTATGTGACCAGCGGAATAGGAAAAACCCAGCCAAGACACTATTTTGGGCTTCCTGGTTCCAAGGTATTCCTTGCACGCTTGGGTAGTTCCTGATCTGAGAGGGTGTATTTCTGGCCACATCCCTCACAGAGGGAGGACAAAGGAGACCACACCTGACGTCTCCTGACTTCCTGCTGTGAGACAGCTTTTGGCTATGATGTTTTATATTGTATTGTCTTCCTATAATAAACTATAGATTTGTAACTTGTTGTTTTGAGTCTTGTGTTTCTTTAGCAAACAAACCCTGTGTAACTTGTCACAGTTAGTTCGGATGTAGGGCAGAGACTTACTCAGAGAATTTCTGGCATTCTGGTATCTTGGGAACATAGAGTGAGAACGGATGTAAAAGAGGTGCTGAGGCTACCTTGAGAAGGTTGATAACAGGTCTGGATTTTTCTGGAGGCCACAGGAATTATCAAAAGGTTTTAAATGAAGGTTCAGTGGGGGATGGGGAAGGATGGGAAGTTGCCTCCTCAGTAGACATGTAGGGAGGGAGGTGCTGCTGTCAGCAGGTGGCTGCTAAATGTGCCACAAGGCACAGGACAGCACAGCCCCTACACCAAATTATCCAGCCCCTAATTATCGAACTGAGTTTAAAACCCTGGATTAGTGGGAGGAGAGACTGGGTGATGGGAAGACCTTTTAGGGAGTTGTGGCAGTAGTCCTGTCTGGACTGTGGGTTGGGAATGGAAGAGGTGGGGTGAATCTGAGAGAGGCAGTAATATCAAGTGATACCTGTGACTAGTGGACAGGTAGGAACACATAATTTGAGATGATCCTCAGTTTTTCTCTTACAGGACTGGACAGGTTGTAAGGGGTTGCCTTTATCTGATTACTTATTTTAAAGTTTTATAGAAGAAAAGTGGCGTGGTGATCAGTCCTGGTCCTTTTTAGTTTGTATGTACATTTTGATTATTTAGAGTACAGTGGTGAAGTATGAATAATTGGGTATATAAAATGAAGTCATTATTTCACCTAGAGGAGAGGTTGTTGACTTTTGGTGGGGAGGGGTAAATGCCCAATTGCTAAGACACCGTTTTTATGTCAAACGTTTTATCTGTATATTAACATTTGGCTATTTTACAGTTCCCTAAGTGCATAGTTACACTTCATTTAGTTGTCAAAATGATCTTGTAACATAGTTCAGTTACTCTTCAGTGACAGAAGGACACGTAAGTAGCTAATCTAATTTGAAGTCCAAAGTTTGATCTCTCTGTTCTACAAGTCTAGAATGTCAATATTACGCTAACCCAGAGGATTCAAGCTTGAAAACAGAAGCTTGAAAATGCATCTCATGGTGGTTGGAACCCTCAAATCCAATGTCTCTTTCTCATTAAACTTTCTCAGGTTGATACATGCCACCTATGTTTCTTCTGTCTCCTCTCCCTCTTTCTTCCCAGTTTTTCTCACATAAGGAGTCCTTTCTCCTCTTTAATCCTTTTCCCCTCTCCTTTCTTACGCCTGTCCAGTTACCTCAGGAAAAAAACCTCTCCCTCCCCTGTTTATTTGTATAACCCAAATGGCCCAAATTGTAACAGATTAAGCATAAACCCTTGAAAATAGCTCCAGAATCCTCTTCAGAAGTTTTCACCTACTCCTGGCTTTCCTTTCATATGCTTGCCCTTAAATACTGGCTTTCAAATGAGCAGATTTGTTTGTTTTTGTGTTATTCTGCTTTGGTTTTGATTTAATCACAAGTGTTTAAACAATATAGCTTAATTGTTTGGAAACAAGTTTGTAAATGATGATACATTCTTAGAATAGCCCACATGTCTATTCTGTTCATAATGTAACTCAAAAACAAAGTATGTATCAAATTCCATATAAGTGACCTATAAAAGAACTTAAGAACACAGCCTAGTTGTAATTGGGCAGTAAAATGAGTTTAAGCTCTATAATACAAGTATGCATGGGATGTTAGGCTAACGACTGACCTACTTTACTGCTTCACTGTACTATCTGTGTGTGCTTGGATGATGGTAATAGGAAACTAGGTGAGAAAGTTTGGGGAAGGAAAATATGTGGTAGTAAGCTTAAGAGTCAAAGTTGACTATGGCATTGAGCTTCTGCCTCTGCCTCTTACTAGATGAGTAAATCTTGGGTGGATTACTTATCTTTCCTAAATTTCTCAGTTTGTCAAAAAGAGGGGAAAAAAAACTCTCTTATAGGATTGTTGGGAGAATTAAGTGATATAAGAGACCTGCATTAACTAGAACAGTTGTCTGACTAGTTGGTCAGAACCCTCTTTCCCGTCAGGAGGGAATTTGTTCAGTTTATGTAAAGCTTTAGTTGAACTGAAATTTGCCTCTCAAGTTCCATCCACTGGTAGAAATCCAAAAATGTAAAATTGCCTGTGATGGTAAAAAACAAAAAACGACAACAAAAATCTTAACAGCCATTTTAGCATGAAACCGGGTTAATTTCTCAAACTTGTTAGTTACAGTGATCTTTCCATTTTTTTTTTCTCTTTTGTAGGTGATTACTGGTGGTCACTATGATGTAGATTGTCGAGTAGAAGATCCTGATGGTAATGTGTTATACAAAGAGATGAAGAAACAGTATGATAGTTTTACCTTCACAGCCTCCAAAAATGGGACATACAAATTTTGCTTCAGCAATGAATTTTCTACTTTCACACATAAAACCGTGTATTTTGATCTTCAAGTTGGAGAAGACCCACCTTTGTTTCCTAGTGAGAACCGAGTCAGTGCTCTTACCCAGGTAATAACAAGTCAGCAATATAATGTTTATATGTCCAAAGGGGGAAAAAAGCATAATTTAACATGCATTAACCACTGATGAATCATGGAATTTTAACATAATCTCTAAGACCTGTCTTAACTCTTATAGTAGATAGGCATTTCACAGAGAACTTCAGGCTTTTTTGAACAGGACCTTTGTTAAGGAATTTTTGAACTTTTAAATATGAAGAAAATAAACATCAAAACATCAGTACCAAAGGAAATTTAAAAGGCTAGACAGTACTCCAGCATTTTGAAGCATTTTCTATAATTCATGGAGGAACACTGCTATCATAAATTAGCAAAATGATGCCTTAATGAATATATTTACTTTTATACCAGTATTTAGTGTTACTCATACTGCTATTACAATAACTTTTGTGTAACTGAAGGTAAAATATTCAAGAGTTATAGTAAGTCAAGTAACAAAGATAGTTAAGGAAGCTAAATTGGGTTTTATTTTGAAGAAGAGCTTAATGAGGGAAAGAGCTAAAGAAATTTAAAGTCATTGAACAAATACTGCTCAGGTGTTAAGAAGGGCTGTTTTCTAGTTCAAATACAGTGTGAGCTTAAGAGTATATCTAAAAGATAATTCACTATCCAAAGGAATTATTTACCACCAACTGTTAAAACCTTAAATTGACACATATTGTTCCCAGGTTCCAGTTAGTCTCTTGGCCAAAGTCATAGAGGCTGATAGAGGCATTTTGGCTGATAAAGGCATTTTGGTGATAGAGGCATTTTTAAGAATGTGTAACATTTACATTTTTTTTACACATTTTTAAGAATGTGTAAGAGCCTTAATTCATAAACCTATTGTAAGCATTAAGATGTATTCAAATGCTCTTAGTTTTAGACACGTTCTCTTTACTGTAGCATCCTGTGTGAATAGCACTGTGCTTTGTAAAAAGATTTTTCTTTGAGGCTATTGTTTATAAATTATTACTTAACCTTCATACATTTTAATTTGTGTAATGAGATAGCTTGCTTTAAAAACCTAAGTAGATAAATGTAAGAAATGAGTGGTAGCAAAGCATTTAGGACCACTTAGCCTCCTATATTTGTATCACATTTTTAATCTTTTCTTAGTTCTGTTTTTCTATTTTCAAAAAGCTAGTAAATCTCTCTTACAATAGGGATACTTATAAAGCAGCTGTTCATACTTCAGAACTGAAATAATTACCAGCTAGTACATGTAGAATAAATGATAGAGTTTCATTAAATCACCATTTTGGGACCATTAATCAATAAAATGATGAATCTAGAGTAGGCAGTGATCACCAGTCACTGCAAAATCATTAGGTGAAAGGCTGATGGGGAACTTTGTAACAGATGAATCTGAAATCACCTAACTCTAATAATCATTCACAAATGGAGACATAACTAGATATTATATGTCTTCTGATAATATGCAATAAGAACATAACATTGTCTGTAAGGTGTTCCCACCCAGACACTATGCCTGAATCTTATCAAGTCTCTGGCTCCAACCATTAGTTTATAAGAAATACAGAGGATAAAAGGTGCAGCATGGGAATAAAATTTAGCAAAATCTAGAAAGTGGGAAGTGCTGTAGGATAGAGGATTCAGTTTCTTCAACAAATAAATGGGAAGGAGAAAAAGAAGGAAGAGAACCTTAAGATTAAAGAAGACTTTAAAAGCATACCAGCTAAATGATTGTGACCTTGTTTGGATTCTGATTTGGAAACAACTTTTGAGACATTTGGGGGAAATTTGAACACTAACTGCATATTTGATAACTTTTAAGGAACTATTAATTACTTTGTGTTACAATACTATTAGAGGTATATTTTTTAAAGTGTTACATTTCAGAAATGTACAAAAGTATAACTGAAATGAGAAAATATGAGCTTTGCTTTAAAGTAATTGGAGTGGGGAGGAAGTTAGATGAGTACAGACGAAACAAGATAGCTATGTTTAATAATTATTACATGGCAATTCATTGTATTGTTCTCTATACCTTTGAATATGTATGAAATTTCTACTTTAGAAGTAGAATTTTTTAAAAAAGGATAACAACACCTTCTTAAAAATTGTATGAATCCATGGAAGTAGTTTTTTAATTTCTGTGATTCAGCAGTACATTGTAACCCATGCCCTGTTGTCAGGCTTCAGGAATTCCTTAAATGTCCTGAATTTGTATCAAATCCTTGTTTTTATGCATACATTTCAGGGGAACAATTCTTAGACCACATCCCATTTTGAAAATATATAGAATGCACAGAAATGCTAGAAGCATCTCTCTACCTCTTATTAAAACATAGACACCATTCATTTTAGCACAGTTTTGCCAGTTTTTCATTCCTAGGGGCCAAACAAAACAAGAAGCAAAAGTGTTTGCGTATTCTAATAGGTAAATTCAATTTGTAGACCTTATAATTGCTCATGCTTTTTAAAAGCACTTTAAAGAAATATTTTTATAACTACTCCTTTCATACTTATTTTGGTAGAACTTTATTAAGTGCTTAAATTATTTTCTGATGTCTGTATTCCTTAATTAAAATTACAACAAACTCATAAAAAATTTTTAATATGTGCTTTGTGATGTAAAATAAGTATAATATAATACAGCATGTGTTTCATCACCAGGATTAGGTTTTTAGCAGCAGAAGGGTATTAAACTCTGGTCTACAACAAAAAATTACACTCTTAACCCTTCTCAAAGCAGATAGTGTAATGTATAAAAAGATCAGGTGTCATTTGATGAAGGCTCACAAACACATTACACAGTGAAAATGAAACTTATGTCCCATAGAGAACTTATATATTGGTGTAGTTGACAGACATGAGGGAGAAGTGGTAAATGTGAAAAAAAAAAAGTCCTACTCTGTCCTATCACTTTAATATTCAACTGTTTTTAAAACAGTTGTAATTTTGACTGACTCGATTTTTTTATGCCATATTTGGTTAATTTTTGTATATTTGGACTTTGATTCATATTCTTGGTATTGGTCAAATTTACTGACCTGCTGTGCTCTTCCTCCTAATTCTTCCTCTTTGAGAAACCTGGCCTTGAAATTCTGTAGCTGCCAACCATAACTGGTTAGTTTCTCTTCTGCTGTTAGCTCTGTGTTCCATTTACCAGCTTTCAGGTGCCACAGCTGAGATATTCCAGTTTGGAGCAAGCAGCTGCTTCGTGGGATGTCCAGCCTTCCCAGTTGTCCTAGTGGGAATGAGTAGAAGGGCTGCTTTGCCAGGACCACTGACATTAATGGGTGAATGAATGAATGCCATTTTAATAGAGAACATTAGTCAGATGAGGAATTGAGATCAGATTGAAAGAAAAGATGAATGTGCTGGATGGATTGGACAGAAAGTATTAACATACTAACCGAAAATATTTCCTTTCAGATGGAGTCTGCCTGTGTTTCAATTCACGAAGCTCTGAAATCTGTCATCGACTATCAGACTCATTTCCGTTTGAGAGAAGCTCAAGGCCGAAGCCGAGCGGAGGATCTAAATACAAGAGTGGCCTATTGGTCAGTAGGAGAAGCCATCATTCTTCTGGTGGTTAGCATAGGGCAGGTATTTCTTCTGAAAAGCTTTTTCTCAGATAAAAGAACCACAACAACTCGTGTTGGATCATAACTACGTTTTGAGAATTGATGCACCATTGCCGCTGTAATATTGCTGTCCTCTAATTAATTTTAGGTACCGAAGGACTTAATATTGGCAACATTTTTAAAACCTTACTCATACACTTGTTGGGGTGGATGTACAATGCATATCCCCAAGCTGTGGAAAGGACACCTTTTTTATTTGTAAAGGTAGAAACACTTTGGAACTTACTTTGGGCTCTTCATAAATATTCAACCTAATGATCTACTCTTTCCTTGGTTGTTTATATCTACTCTTCGCACACTAAACTTTGGTATTTTGATTCCTTTTAGCCATTTAAAAGTACTTTTCTTGTAGGTAGTGGATATTTTAAAAACCTTTGATTTAATGTCTACCTGTGTTGTGGAGGAAGAAAATTGCCTTTTAGTTGTTTATAGCAAATAAAGTTTTGTTGTTAAGAAAACGAATTATGATTAACTGTAGCCCAAGCCCTATTCTGCACTGTTTAATTTTGTGGGGAAAAAAATTACCATAGAAATGTTAGTTAATATTGATATAATTTTAAATTGATCCATCATGGTTTAATTTATTTCTTTTGCTTAGAAAGTGTCATTTTTGTTGTTTGGGTTTATTCTATGATCTATAACCAGATATGTTACTTTTTTCATAAAGATACTCTTACCACATAGAATGTAGTATGTTTCAGTAACATAATAGAGCTTATATAGGCCTTAAAAATCAGACTGTTGTAACAGGTAAAAATAAACGGAGAATAATTTAAGACACTAAGTGGGGGACAAGTGAAATGAGAAAACTTTTACTGAGTTATTGGCACATAACACATTTTTAGTGCTTTTACAAAAAAAAGGTGATCTGTTTCATTTTAAACATTTGGATTGGCTAGTTCTTGCTCTTATGTGGCTTTACCATCTTTGAGTTTTTCACATCTTAAATTGACAGTTGTAATATAGTACTGTAAAAGTGCCATACATTTTATCCTGATGGGTGTGATGCACTGAGAAGTTAGTTTCTTTGGTTTCTTCTTTTTTTATTTTTTCTTTTTTTGTTTTTTTTTTGTCTTGCACATGTAATTTGTACAATCTCTGGTTAGCAGACCTAAGGTGATTTAAAGAATTAGAGTGTTGTGTGTGTGTTTCTTATTTGATAATCTTCATTGATTGTACTGCATTTAGTGAGTATTAAATAGTGCATTTTCTGTACACCGTAGGGTTTAGACTATATTTGTATTCTATAACTTGTATAGATTGAGCTGATTGAAGTAAGATTTTATTCTAGAATAGAATTCCATATATTCTAGAATAGAATACAAGATGATACAAAATTATATGTGTTTAAAGCTTTTATGCTGTTAAAAAAAAATGCAACGCTTTTTGCCATGCTTCTCTCCCCCACCTAAAAGTGATGAGTGCTGGGCAAGACTCATGTTGTTAGGACTTTGATATGTGGTACCATGGAATACTGATTGGATAGCAGTTCTAGTTGCTTAGCATCACTGACTAGAAGTTAGCTCTTACTTCCAAGCTATCTTAAAATGCATATATAAGAGCAAAATGAATTCAGGTAGTCCTGCTTACTAATTTCAGGTGCTACAGTGTAGCAAGGGATGAACATATTTTCAACCCTTTAATTCTAAAGTTTTTGAAGACCAAATAGCTACTCCTTCAAAAATATTTGTCACTGGATTAAGAACTGAAGTTTAAGATTTTGCAGATTTATCTATTGGGGTTCTTGTATAGGAGTTGTCCTGCAGTTTTGTAAGTGTCCCTCTGTGTTTAGATTTGCAAATCTTAAACGCTAATGTTAGAGTGATTGATAAGCCTGGGTGTATGTTAAATGTCCTTTACTGGTTGCCTTTATGCTCTGTTGTGTTCAGATAGTTACACCGTAATTAAGTGAAGTCAGGTATCATCAGTGTGCCGAGTTTGGCATAGATAATGCAGTTATTTAATCTGTGCCTATCAAAACTTCATGATGTTAGACTATTACCACAAATAAGTTGTGGTGAAACTATTGAGATGTATTAAAAGTTTTGAAATCACCACTGTTACCTGTTATAGAAAATAATACCAGCTTAGTTTAGTCTGTTTGTAGCTGGTTAAAGTTTGATGGCTGTCTATACTAAACTAGATATGTATATAAAAGTTAGAAAATACATATCTATCCAGACATGAATATTAAGTAAGAACTTTATTTTCTTCCTTCTACCATATAGTTTGTAGCTCATCTCTTTTCTTTAAGCCTTTCATAACTTGTTGCAACAGTTTGAAATTTCCCAAGTATTTATGTTTGGACGTATGGCTCAGAATACATATTTAAACATCATTAACTGTATATATTTTTAAAGTAGAACAGATAATGGAAAGGGACTTGATATACAAGTTTGTACTAAAATTTCAACTGTGTGAAGATACATTTTAAGATATTACTTTGCTAATAATCTAAACATTCTTTTTTTATTAAACAAATAGTTTGGGGTTCACAACTTTCATCCTGGCTTGATGATAATCAACTTTGAAAACAGTGAACTGAAAAGCAGTTTTATTCTTTGAAAGATTTCATTTAAATCTCTGTACTATCCACTTTTGCTTCAGTTTGTAAATGTGTAACGTTTATGGTTAAATATGACATAGCAGACCCTATGACTATTGTTTTCAGAAATTAAACAAATTGGTATATAAATAATTCAAAGGGGCTTTTCATTTACTTTTGAAAAGAAAAAGAAATTTCTCTAAACATGTTGGTTCTGCAGGATTGCACCAATCAATTCTTGTAGAATAAAAAAATCTTTCAACGAACTGACCTCACTTGTTTCTGTCAGGATTTAAATTTTTTTAAAGCTCCTTATCGACTTGCAGCTGGGAGTACAGTTTTGTAGCAAAAGAGTGATAATTTATTTGATATTTCGTTGAAACATCTTAGGGACTGACCAAGAAAGTTAAAGAACAGAAGTAACAACCTCTAAACCACCTCACTTCTAACCTTCTTTTTGGATTTCTTACTGAAAGTTTGGGTGAATGTGAGTTAAGCCTTCAGTTCCCTAAAAAGCTCTGAATTTTTAGGTAAATGAACCTTAGATTGTATAATGCCAAGTTTTCTCAGTTTTTCCCCCTTTATAAGATGTTATTCGGGGCATTCTGGTTCCTATACACAACCCTACAAAAGCAGCAAAGAAATAACAGTAATATAGGTTAACATTTATTGAATGCTTTCCTCGTGCTAGGTGCTGTGCCTAGTATCTTATTTGTATTGTCACGTTTCAGCTTTGCAGTAATCCTATGAACTAAGGATATATATTCTTAAGATCTTTATTGTGGTTATGGTTCCTGTGCAGTAAACTACACATATTTTAGATCTACAGTTTGATGAGTTTTGATAGATGTATATGAACTAAGGATATTATTCCCATCTTACAGATGAGAAAACGGAGGTGTAGAGAGGTTGTTAAGAATCCTGCCTATATCACAATTAGTAATTAGCAAAGTGTGAACATGAACCATGCCAGTCTGGCTCCAGATCCCTCTTTCTCAACCACTATGCAATACTACCTTACAAACATTAATTAAGGATAGGTCTCTGAAGGGTTAGCAATCTTGATTTCAGTATAGCTCAATAGCTGTTCAGTGTTTGGTTTTGGAATCAGCCAAGTTCAGATCATGGTAGTGTGACCTCCCACAAATGATTTTATTAACTCTGTACATTTCTGCTTCACTTATTACTAAGGTAATACCTACTATAATGAGAATATAATGAGATGTTTATAAACACTTAGGGTTAGTGCCTATCATATATAAGCCCTTAATAAATAATAGCTATATTTTTTATCATCAGCCCAGTTTTAGTCTCTTGATCTTTCTTTAGTTCCTCAAGTTCTTACTGTAGCCTCTATATGGCTCTTAAATGATATGTAGCACGAATATGAAAGTCTATCATGTACATAATAGCCTGCCAGAAGTTTCAAAAATTAATAAGATAATCTGACCTCCAGGAACATAGTAGTTGTAGGATGGCTATAAATGCAACTAATGTTAAGTAAGTAATGAAGCAGAATGGACTTGAAGTTTCCAAGACCGAGTTCTAGAGGAGGAAAGACGTATGTAGATCAAAAGACTTACTCGTCAAGGAGTTTTCTTTGTCATCTCCTGGGTGGGGAGGGGTGCATTTTGTCTAGTTAGGCCAGCAGTTGAGTGGATTAATCTGATTCAGGGATGTGGACGTGAATTTTTTGTTACAGATCAAAAACCATTCTTTAACTGTTACTAGTAAAGGTGCTGTTTGATCTGCTGAATAACTTCTCTATCTCAGTTGCTTCCAAATTGTGGAGGAAAATATGGGGATGTTATCCACCAAGTATGCTGTTTTTCAGTCTGCTTTCTCCATTTTATCCACAAGGTAGCATCATTAGGAATGATTACAATCCTTGCTGAAGTCAACATTTATTAGAGGTAACACTGGTCTGGCTTGATTTGTTTTTAGTGCTGGTGATTACTAGTGACTACCACTACCTTAAAAAGAAAAGGCAACACGAGAATTTGAGAAGTAATGGTTCAAAGAGTAAAATCTACCCGTAAGCCACTATCCATTTTGATGTATTTCAGGTATTTTTTTATAGATAGAGATGTATATTTTTAAAGAATTGGTATTGTCTATAACAAATTTTTAAACTTTTAGAAATTGTGAAATTTGTCATAATATAGAAGAGGGTATTAAACACGTACAATTTAAAAAGAAAATTATAAAGCACATACTCATAATAATTAATGCTCAGGTTAAGAAATGCAATATTGCCAGCACCATAAAAAGATCCTATGTATCTTTTCCAGATCACATTCCTGAATTTCCTCCCTAGAGATAACTAATGTTTTTCTTGTAATGAAAATATTGTTTTCTTTTTCTTTCTACCAGTTATGTATGCTAGTTCTTCTCAAACTACTTTTGAAAAAATTTCCAAGTTATCACAAACTCACAATACAAACGTATAAATACAAAATCATGCTTGAATGCTTTGGTAATACTGAATTGCTACCAGCCTTTCTAAATGCTTACTTTCTCTGCATGCTTCCTCTCACTTTAAGTGCTTCTCTCTTCATCAGCCAAAAACAGTTCAGTATGGTCACTGGACCACACTCTGAATGGTACTGATGTCTCCTTTCCTGAAAAATGTCTAAAAAAATCAGGCAAAAGTAAACTTTAATAAATAAAGTTTAATGGAGTATTAAATTCTGTTTAATAAATTAGATATTACATGTCTTCTTTCGTGACTTTGTTTTGCTACATCATCCGTGTTGATGCACCTGGCTGTAATTTTCATTACCGTGTGGTAGTCCATCATATAAATACATCAGAGTTATGTGTCTGCTCTACTGTGATGGAGTTTTGCTGTTACAAACAAAGCCACTATGAATATTTCTGTATATTATGTTCTGTTACACATGTGTATCATCCCTTGAGAATACATCTAGGAGTGGAATTGTTGGCTTACAGAGTATGTGTGTTTTCATCTTTACTAGGTGCACCTAGCTTTCCTAAAGCAATTGTCTGAATCAGTGCTTTCACCAGTAGCAATAGAAAGTTCCATATTTGATGTTGTGAGACTTTAAAACTTTTGAAAATCTCCTGGGTTTATAATGTTGTAAAGGCAGCACTTAAGAATTTCAGAAATAATGGTTCAGAGAATAAAATCCACCTGTAATTCCATTATCCATTTTGATATATCTCAGTTATTTTCATAGATATATGTGTATATTTTTTAAAGAAATGGGTATTATACCTCATTGTTGCTTAATTTGAATTTCTATGAAGTTAATTGTTTTTTCTCACAGGTTTAATTACCACTTGGATTTCCTCTTTGTGAAGTCCCTGTTCAGATGTTTTTCCCATTTTAAGAAATTGGATGTTTTGGTTAACAGGATTCCTTTACATATTCAGAAGACTGATCCTTTGGTTTTAAGTGTTTGGATATCTTCTCACAGTTTCTGTTTGTTTTCTGCCCCTAGTGAAGTATATCAGTCTTTTCCCATATTGTTGGCATTTTTATGTCTTATTTGAGAAATACCTCTCTATCCTGAGATCATAAATATCTTCTCCTGTACCATGTTCAAAAATATGTATAATTTTATTTTCTACTTGAATTGAGTTCTATGTATGGGATAAGGTAGGTAACCAGGTTTTTTGTTTTTTGTTTTTTTTTCTTGAACACATTTCTTTCTCTTTTGATTTGCCATACCAATTCTGTGATCTATTAAATGCCCATATTTACCTGAGTCTTATTTCTGTTCTATTCCATTGATCAGTTTGTTTATACACCAGTAACAAACTATCTTAATTACTAAAGCTTTAAAAATTATTGATATTTAGTAAAACAGATGTTTATAATTTGTTCTTCAAGATTTTGTCTGCCATCTGTCCCTTGCATTTTATATAAAGTTTAGATTTAGTACAAGTTTCAACAAGACAAAATAAATCTGCTAGGATTTTGACTGGAGTAGTATTTAATGTGTCAAGACTTTCTTCTTTTATAATATTGCAATTTCCATTGAATGAACCTATCTTTTTCATTGCTAGGGCCTTCCTTAGATCTTTTGATAAAGTTTTATAATTTTATTCATAGAAGTATTCCATATGTTTTTGTTATGTTAATCTTGTTTTCTTTATATTTTTTGATGCTATTTAATTTTTTTGTTGTTGCTGGTGCATGGAAATACAACTTTTAAATTGATTTTTCTGTTCAGCATCTTTGCTAAATTCTCTTGTCAATTCTCGTAATTTATCTGTAGATTCTTTGGACTTTTTGTGTGTACAGTTGTCTCATCTGCAAGTCAGGATACTTTTGTCTTTTTGTTCCTCACACCTTTTCTTTGTTTTTCTTGTCTAATTACAATTGACAGGGACCTCCAGTACAATGTTGAATAGAAGTCATAATAGGCATTCTTGTTTTGTTCTTGTTCTCTAGAAATGCTTTCAAGGTATCCTGTAAACAGTTTATGATTTTTTAATTAAATTTAGAAATTTCCCTTCTATTCTTAGTTTGCCAAGAGGTTTTTTTTTTAATAATCATAAGTGATGTCAGAGTTTATCAAAAGCTTTTTCTGTATTTATTGAGAAAAATAATTGTTTTGCCATCTTTATTCTCTTAATGTGGTCAGTTATGAGGACTGATCTTCTGTTGTTAAACCAACCTTTTTCTGATTTGTTTGTTTTTAATGGCTAGATTTGGTTTGTTTCAAGATCTTTGCTCAATATCAAGATTATACATCCTTATAAAATGAGTTGGAGAGAGGCTTTCTTTCCCTAGTTTCAGGACGAGCTTCTACAAGATTTACATTACTTCTTCCTTAAATCTTTTATTACAAATCTTAGGTGAAGTATGTTTGGTTGGGATCTGGTGTGGTCTTTGTGAGATACTGATTCATTTTTTTTATTATTAATGAGAGTATTTCCTCTTATGGAATATTTCCGAGAATCTGTCCATGTCATCTACATTTTCAAATTTATTAGCACAGTGTTATTCCAATCCGTTTTTTTAATAATATGTCAGATTTGTACTGTCATCCTCTTCATTCCTGATACTGTTATTTATAGTTACAAATTTATACTATTTATTATATAAGATATTTATATCTTCTTTTTTACTTGTCCGGTCTTAGCAGAGACTCATCACTTATACTGTTTTTTTCAGAAAGTCAGTATTTTTTCCTTCCAGTTTTACTGAGATATAATTGACATATAGCACTGTGTAAGTTTAAGGTGTACAGTAGAACATTTGACTTACGTACATCATGAAGTGATTACTACAGTAATTTTAGTCAATATACATCATCATATAGATAATAAAAGAAAAACTTTTATCTATTTTTTCCTTGTGATGAGAACTCGAGTTCTTACAACAGTCTTAACAACTTTCATATATAACATATAGCAGTGTACATATAGCAGTGTCAGTTCTCCTAATCATTTTGTATATTACATTCCTAGTACTTATACAACTGAAAATTTGTACCTTTTGACTACGTTCATCTAGGTCCCCCTTCCTCACCCCTACCTCTGGTAACTACAAATCTGATCTTTTTTTCTATGCGGTTGTTTGGTTGGTTGGTTTTTTAAGAGAATTGACCTACGGCACTATGCTAGTTCCCGGTGTACAGCATAGTGATTCGGTGTTTCCATACATTACAAAATGGTCACTATGGTAAGTCTTGATACCATCTGTCACCACACAGACTATATTCTTCATGTTGTACGTTTCATCCCTATGACATTTATTTTGTACAGAAGTTTGTACCTCCTAGTTTCCCTCACATATTTCACTCATCCCCCACCTCTTTCCCCTCTGGCAACCACCTGTTTGTTCCCTGGATCTATGACTTTGTTTCTGTTTTGTTATGTATGTTCATTTGTTTTTTAGATTCCACATATAAGTGAAATCATATAGTATTTTCTTTCTCTTACTTATTTCACTTAGCATAATACCCTCTAGGTATTTCTATATTCTTGTAATGGATATTTAGCTCAGATCTGTTGTAACGTATATTTAAAACTACAGATTTCTCTCTTACTGTTCTTTAGATCAATGTTAATTTTCTATGCTATGTAACAAATTACCACAAATGTACCAGTTTAAAACGTATATATTATCTCACGATATCTACAGGTTAAGAGTCTTGGCACAGCTTAGCTGGGTCCTGTGTTCAGGGTCTCACAGGGCTGCAATCAAGTAGTCACTTGGACTGCCTTCTTACCTGGAACTTGGGGGGCCTCTTCCAAACTCATCAGGTTGTTAGCAAAATTCAGCTGCTTGCAGCTATAGAACTGAGGCCTTTAGCCACTTGAGGCTGCTCCTCTCCATAAGCGCTTCACATCATGACTGGTTCTTCAAGGCCAGCAGGAGAAAATAAGTTGCTTTGATTCTCTTCTTTCAGGGAAGGCTTGACAGGATTCACCCGATTATATCAGAGCTTCTTCCCACCCCTGGAATAATCTCCCTTTCAATAAACTCAGAGTCAACTGAATAAGGACCTTAATAGCATCTTAAAAATCTTTTCACCTTTACCGTATTCTGTTGATAAGAAGTCAATTACAGGTTCTGCCTACACAAACGTATGGGGATGGGGATAGTGAGGTATTTTGGGGCCATCTTAGAATTCTGCCTACCAGGAACCCCATTCTACAAGTCTTGATATCTATTTTAGTTACTCATCAATTTCAAAGAATTTTTTGATTTCATTACTACTTCTGATCTGACCCATAGATATTATTTGGAACTATAATTCTTAATTTCCAAACACATGTATTGAAGTTATCTTTTATTATTGATTTCTAACATAATTGCTTTGTGATCAGATAATATATTTTCTATATAACTTAAATTCTTTGGAATTTTTTGACAATTGCTTTATGACCCTGTTTACCTCCCTCCCTTTATATGTTGTCATATATTTTGTATCTAAAAGTCATTACTGTTGCTTTATATAGCCAGTATTCATTTCCATTTACCCATGTATTTGCCACCTTTTTGCTCTCTGTTCCTTGCTGTGTCTTTGAGCTTCCATAATAATTTTCCTTCTGCCTGAAGAGTACATTTAGAATTTTTGGCTGCAAATTCACTTTGCCCTTTTTTTTTTTAATGTCTTTGTTACTGGGAAAAGGAAAGTAAGAATTACCTTAGTTTTTAGTCACCAGAAAAAAAGATTCTTGATGAGTGACAAAAAAGTGTGATAAGCAAAATTTTTATTAGTGAAATAAAAAAAATAGTGAAAGATAGTACACTCCCAAGAATTGGGAGCGGGCCAATCCAAGAGAGAAAAAATGGCGCCGTTCCTTTGTTTTTTCCTGTTTTTATATCCTGGTTTCATGATTGATTAATTGACTGATTGATTGACAACTCAGGTTCCCTGCATTCTGGTTGATTGACAGCTCAGGTTCCTTGTGTTCTGGATTGTTTCTTTCCCCTTCCTCTCCCCCTGCCCAGTGCTCATTTCTGCCTAAACTACCTAACATCTTTATTTTAGCTTTATTCCTGCAGGAGATTTTTGCTAGGCATAGAATTCTCTTGAAGATACAGTTTTATGGTTTCTTTTTTTAAACTGAAGTACAGTCAGTTACAATGTGTTAATCTCTGGTGTACAGCACGATGTCCTGGTCATATATATACACATACATATATTTGTTTTCATATTCTTTTTCATTAAAGGCTACTACAAGATACTGAATATAGATCCTTGTGCTATACAGAAGATATTTGTTTTTTATTTATCTCATTGTCTTCTGGCTTCCCTTTTGTTACTATGAAGAAATCAGCTATCAATCTTTTGCTTCATTGAAACTAATCAGTCTTTATTCCTTTCTCTGGCTGCTTTCAAGATTTTCCCTTTGTATTTGATTTTTGGCAGTTTAATTATGCTGTGTTAAGTGAGAATTTCATTGTGTTTTCCTGCTTGGGTTTTATTAGGCATTTTGGATGAGTTGACATGTCAGCTCTGGGAAGTTCTCAACTATAATCTCTTTAAATATTGCCTCTGTCCAGTATTCTCTCTCCTTGCCTTCTGGGGCTCCGAGTAAACATTTGTTAGAACTTCTTGGTTTTCTTTCTTACATCTCTTCATGTTTCTTCTATATGTTCTGTATCTATTTCCTCTGATCATCCTAGATAGTTTCTTCTTAAATAGCTTGTAAATCACAATCCGCTTTTCAGCTGTTTTTAA